TATATACATAAGTCTACATTATTAATAGAAACACTAAAAGGCCCCGTCACACTGCTAGGTGGTGAGAACATCCACCTAAAGAACATAATGTGTCAAAAACTTGGTCTCTCCAGTTCACATGGATCCACCAAAAAATGGGCCTTTGAATAGTGTTTTTTCACCAAAAACACATTTAAATGAGAGATGCAAACGCATAAATAAATGTCTTTTTTTTTTCATTAAAAAATCTACAGTAGAGGATGGAGTATTAAAGACAAAACGCACATCAAAAATGACTCCTCAGTTATTTTCATAATAACCCCACACTGCCCTTGACTGGATACAGACTGAAAATAGGCTGCAGTTTTTCTTGAAATTTCTCTGTATGGAAGAATCTGTGCTCTTAAAACTCACTCCCTGCTTGGATACCAAGGTTCCTGCCGTTCTTCTCTAGTTTAATCGTTTCAATTAAAAAGTATAAAAACTGAGTGGAAATGGTTTGACGTTTTGAGATACCGTACGTCTGGACAAACATGATCCCAAATCTTCTTATGAAGACAGTGACAAAAAAGACATAATCTGGTGATCCATTGGCCAAGAGATTAACTATTCTGAAGAGAAACAAAGAAGGTTAATTTTATATTTCAAGTTTGATTTGTGTTGTTAATACAACATGACACATCTTGCATATTTTTAACCTGTCAATTGATTCTAATAACTTTCATGTTGTGTTTTTGGCTTAAATCCTCCCCCTGAAAAGACTCTAGTTATTTACCTTTTGTGTTAAGTTACATAAAGAGTATTATTTAATGAATCATGTAGTATTTGATAGCACGTATTGATGGTTTTGTGTTTTATAGGAAATGGTATCCCATTTTGGGCCATCAAGAACAGCTGGGGGGAGGACTATGGAGAGCAGGTAAGAAAAACACATTAGCTGTATGAAATTATTATTAAGGTGTTCAAACATGTTCCGAGAGTAACTGTAGCTGCGTTTCCATTGACCATGAAAATGAGCAAATTAGAATTTGGAAAATAAATTTGCTCAATGGAAGCACATCAATTTCGAAAGAAATTACGTGTTTCGACAAAATGTTTTTGCGCTAGGATGAGGTGGTATTTCCGACCGTATCGAAATTTGTTTTTTTCACAAAACTGCAATGGAAACACTTTTTTCGCATCACGGGAGTCACGTGATCAACAACCGGCTGTTTCTACTGGCGAAAAAGACGACGAAGAAGATAACAGGAAGTA